TAAAAGTAATAACTAATAAAAGCTAATAAAAGAGAACCTTAAGATTGTTGGGGTTTTTTTGTTATGTTTTACTTTTCTTTGGACATTGAGCCTTAGAAGAAAATTTGCCTTGCTTCATTAACTAGGCATAACAATGTGCTTAAGAACATGAATTATTTTAACATCAGATTTTATTTCATAATGTTCCTTTCTCATTTCATTACATGGTCTACAGTTATCATATCTAATTTTGATAGCTACTAGCCACATGTGACTCTTGCACATTTGAATTGTGACTAGTGTGACTGAGGAACCGAAATTTTAATTTTATTGGATTTTAACTAATTGAAATTACACTATAAATTTCTCAATGTGGCTAGTGGCTGGTGGCTATTGTGCTGGACAGAACAGACCTAAAGCGAAAGTGATTTGATTGATCTGATAAAAATTAATTCTATTAAATGAAAACTTATACAACAGTTAAATCACAAATTTCTGTTCATATACTAGTTGATCCATTTAGTGAAATGCTTACTGCTTTTGCTCAGGACTTATACCCTGCTGTGACTGTTTGGGTTGCAGTCTCTCTAAGGTGAGATAGATGGATATAGGAGGCAGGGCATAGCTACCCCACGAGGCTGGTGGGACAAGGACCTCAAGTCTATGGACAGAAAAGTTACAAACACAGTTATTAAGTCATTAACCTTTCCTAGTGTTCTCAGATAGTATTCAGTCTTCCAGATCCATAGATACTTTATCTTCTTTAAAAGAACTTGGGAGGGAAAACAAAACAAAACAGAAACAAAACAAAACAAAACAAAATACTCCAGGCATCTAATATTTTCAATTTTAAAAAATGAATTAACAGTAACAATACTCTTCACTAGGACAGTTTTTTTTTTTCAAAATTAATAAGGATGTGTAGCTGTTTTGACAGTTTAAGATTTTCTGAGTTAGCTTTTAAGTTAACCTTGAAAATGGTGTCTTTTTAAAATTATTGCATCATTGTGTCATATGAAGAGACAGAACATTCTTGAGGTTTGAAAAGTACTCAAACTGAAGTTTCCATAAAAATTAAAAACTGCACAGTTGCTTTACCTCATAGAAGAGTGACTTTTTTTTATTGTGTTAAGAATACTTAACATGAGCTCTACCTTTCTAAATTTTTAGGTACACAATACAGTATTATTAACTGTAGATGCAATGCTGTATGACAAATATCTAGAACTTACTCATCTTGCGTACCTGAAATTTTATACCCATTGAATAACAATTCTGTATTTCATTTTCCCTCAGCCCCCAGCAACTGCCATTCTACTCTCTGCTTCTCTATGATTGACTATTTTTACAACTGTTTTACTTTCTCTATTTTAATAAAGAACATAGAATAATAGAAGTTTTTTTCTGAATTCAAGAATTCTCTCATTTCATGAGAAATCTGTAGTAGTTGGCTCTTGGCATCGATTCTATTGGATCATTGGGTCTAAATTTATGCAGTTTTCTCCAGCTTTTCCTCATGCTTGTCTCATCCTGGTTATATAACTGCTGTAAGTTCAGTCACCACATCTGTGTTTTGGGTAACAAGAGGCTAGGAGGCAAAAATCCACCTCACCCCAGTCTCCTTATCAGAAAATCGAAATTTCTCAGAACTATCTTCTTCCAAATAGACTTCCACCCCCTTTTGCTAGCAAAACCAAAACCAAAAATGAGTCAATATTTTTATCAGCAAACAAAAAGGAGACTAGTGTTCAATAGACAGCTTATAATATGTCACCTGGACTATTCATAATGATTCGAAGGTTAAATTTGGCAGCTAGGAAGAGAAAAATATTTGGGTTTGAATGTCAAGAATCAATGTGTATGTGTTTTAAGGAATTATTGTTTATGAGCAGTACGAGTAGGAATCTAATGTCATAAACGGAGTAGCTTTTTGTGTATGAGTGTGCAGTGGGGATTCTGTAAATAGAAAAATAGAGCGATCTAATCTGTTATAACCTTTAAACTTCTGTGACTAGATCTGCATGACCGAGGAGTGTTGTGGTAAAATAAGGAGCAACAGAATATGATTATGTAGATTGAAATGCTTCTTGAGCTTCAGTCATTGATAACTGAATCTCTTTTTTTCTGTTTCTTGAATCTTGGCTGTTTTTCCTTATCATGTCCCCTGGCAAGCAGTGCAACTGGTCTGCCTCTCTAAACTCTTTCCCAGGTCTTGGACTCTATAATAGTTTTCTGATTTCATCCTGAAGAAAGATTTCCATAAAAAGACATCCTTAAATTCTTGGAAACTGTTTTATCCCATTCTTTTTTAAAAAACTTTAATAAGCAGATTTTTTAAGTTTATTGATTTATTTTTGAGCAGAAAGAGCACAAGCAGGGGAGGGGCAGAGAGAGAGGGAGAAAGAGAATCCCAAGCAGGCTCCACACTGTCAGTGCAGAGCCTGATGCAGAGCTCAACTCACAAATCTTGAGACCATGACCTGAGCTGAAATCAAGCTAGATGTTTAACAAACTGAGCCATTCACGTGTCCCTATGGTTTAATATTTTGAAGTTGTTTCAGTTGTTCAGTTGAGAGAAGTAAATCAGAAACAAAAGCTAATTTAGGAGGGGAAGGAAATGAAAGTCTTTGAGAAGGCATTAATAGTCAATAGAATGCAGGGCTTGAGAAGTAGTCAAAGGACCTCAGGGCCTCCATTGGAATGGTGATTAGGTAGATTGCATTACCATTATTTGAGATAAGAGGGTTCAGAGGAAGACTAGATTTAAGGCTGACAGATGATGAGTTTGATTCTTGATAGGTTAAAAATGTTTCCTATGGGGCTTGTAGAGAAAGGACACCTTCAGTATTGTTTGGTCTGTAGTTTAATCATTCCAGAGAAATTAGGGAATCGTGGTTCCACAAAGCACATAGCACGTGAGAGACAGGATGAAACATCTGGGATATAATTCTGAGGAAATCCCAATTCAAGGAATGCAATATTCTAAGTAGAAAAGCAGGTTATACAGTATGGAGAACAAAAATAAGTTCAACAAAATGTTGGGTAAATGTAATAGCAGGGTGTGCATGTTCATATATGTTTTGGGGTTGATTTTGAATCTTAAAATGCATTTCTGGAACTGTAAGAGATTCTTCATGTACGAGCTACATCTTGATCTCAAAAGGTTTTAGAGTGTCACTGTTAAATGTTCCTTAGGTTCTCAGAAGTGGTCTAAGTTCAAAAGGCTGGGCAATGCTACATTTGGGAATTGGGTCCTTGTCATTTTGTGTTCTTACTCTACTAAATGGAAGTGCAAGTTTTATTCTTATTTTGTTCATAGTCCACAAATTCATTATCAAAATGCTCAACAGTTTTAGGCATGCAAAGGACAAAGGTTGTGTAGAAATGATTGGGACTAGGTTATGTTGTTTTTTAATAACCTTTGATATCTTTGTTAAAATCTTGAATTTATTCTCAAATTAAAATATATTAGAATTTCATCAGCTTTAGATTGTTTACTAAAGATTCAGATAAAACAATAAATTAGAAGAGAGTATTATTCATATCTCCCATTAAGTTCTAAATGTTAATGGTGATTATAAAGGAAAATTTATTATGTTAGTAAAATCTGCACAGCTTTGGCTGTTCTTTTACTTTAACTAAATACTTTTGATTGTAATGGTTCTTACTAGCAGAAATTTCTTGGAACCTATGGTTTAGATTAACATTACAACCTGATGTATAATTAGAATTAAGCTGTATAAAAATGTATATCCTGGGGGTGCCGGGATAGCTTAGTTGGTTGAGCACCTGACTCTAGATTTTGGCTCAGGTCATGATCCCAGGGTTGTGAATTCAAGCCCCTTGTGTGGCTCCTCATTGAGCATGGAGTCTGCTTATGATATTCTCTCTCTCTGGATCAAGAAGATGTGGTTTATCTATACGATGGAATACTACATGGCAATGAGAAAGAATGAAATCTGGCCATGTGTAGCAACCTGGATGGACCTTGAGGGTGTTATGCTAAGTGAAATAAGTCAGGTAGAGAAGGACAAATATCATATTTGCATGTGTAGGAGGATTAGAAGGAACTTAACGGAGGACCATGGGGGAGAAGGCGGGAAATGGTGGGGGAGAGGGAGAGAGGCAAACCATGAGAGACTCTTGAATGTTGAGAAAAAACTGAGGACTGATGTATGTGGGGGAGGAGGGGGGAGATGGGCATGGAGGAGGACACTTGTGGGGATGAGCACTGGGTTTTATATGGAAACCAACTTGACAATAAACTATTTGTAAAAAATATTAAAAAATAAAAAAAGACCAAAAAAAAAAAAAGAAACAACCCAAACTAAAAAAAGAAAAAAAAAGATATTCTCTCTCTCTCTCTGTCTCTGCCCTTTTCCCCAGCTTGCCCTCTAAAATATAAATAACTACATAAATAAATGCGTAAATAAATAAAACATTTGATGAAAATATAACTTCATATTACCATAAATTAGTCAATAAAGTAAGAAGATGGGCAAAGTTACCTCATATGTTTATGGAAAACCTCTGAATAGATACATTTTATAACTGTATTTTGAGGATTAAAAACTTTATTTTGTTTCCAAGTATACTTACAGCCCTGCAGCTTCAGTTTAATCCTTATTTGTGAAGGTTTAGAAATAGGGCCAGTTAAGAATTGTACTTACAGAAATTATAGAAAGAAATAACTGTGTTGTCTACCTAAGTCAATTAAGGTTGTTTATGAATATGTGAGGGTATTACTTCAGTATGACTATGAAATAGTTTTTAATTACCCACATCGGTTATATATAAAACCTCTTTGGAAATGTTAGAATTATAATTCAAAAGATAGGATCTGATTTAATTAATATATGCAAAATAATCATTTGTTTTATTCAGTGCCATTCATTGTAATTCCCTTACATTAAATACTTTCATTACCTTCCTGCAACTCCAAATCTTTGGGGATGTTTTTAAATGTGTTGAAATTTATAACAGGATGAGCATTTATAGTTTTCTGTTTTGTTTATTTGCAGATAAGAATGTGCCTTTTGATGAAAGGACTTCATCTTTCTACAATGAAGAGCAGAATTTCTATGTTTAAGGAATAAGAAGCCACTTTATCACTAGGGGCGGGGTATTTAAGTTATATATATTATGAGAACCTATAATTTGTTGTTGCAATAAATACTGTATCATTTTGTTATGTCTTTGAATGTATAGAAGTGCTCTTAATGGGCTCAGAGTTGTTGGGAGTAAACTGCACTATGGTAGAAATCTGGGTGAAAATTACTTTAAAGCAGGGTGTTTTCTGATCAGTTATTGTTTCTTGCTTACCATATTGTTGTAAACAGTTTTATAGATTAATCAGTTAATGTTTTGGTTTTTTGTGGGTTTTGGGTGGGTCTTTTTGTTTTGGGGAGGGTTTTTTGCCTTTTTCTTTTTTTGCTAAAACTATAAATCCCAACAACCAACTGGTGTGTAAAAATAATTTAAAATTTCCTTACCAAGATGTATTTCCCATTTTTGTGGGAAAAAGAAGCCAAATTTATTACTTTGCATTTGCTTTTTTTTTTTTGTAAATTAATAAATGTCTGAGTTGTTTGCAAAACAATAAATGATGTAAAACTTCTTTGAATGTGGTACAGACAGTATATGTTTACAGAATAAACTCAAAGACTATAGAACTATAAATATATATGTTTTGTATGGTTTCTAGAAAAATCTTTAAAAAAGTTTATTTTATTGAGCAATTTACTTGTTAAATTAAGATACCTTCTTTGATTAGATATTTTAGAAAAATGAGAATTTCAAAGACATTTTATTTATTTACACTATTTTGAAAGATAGAAGTGATAACAAAACATTTCAGTCGTGTATTTTGGTGCCAGAGAGTAAGGAATTAAAATAAGTGCATAGACTTTGGAGTCAGACAGACCTGAATACAGAGACTGACTTTATTAACTCTAAGCTAATTATTTAACCCTGTTGAGCTTCAGTTTTTCACATTGTAAAAATTAGAAAGGAACTTATAGGGAAAGCATTGGTCACAAATTTAGTTGCTTTAGGGGCCAGTGAGGTAATTTAAATATTCATGTGTCTGTCAGGATAGTCTACGTCATTTAGTAGCAACAGATGGTCCCGAAATCACAGTGGGTTACAACAAAGATTTATTTCTCACTCATGCTGCCCATTTGTAATGGACTGTGATTCTGCTCTTCGTTGTTTCTTCTTCAGGGTCAGTGCTGCTGGAGAAACCTCTGCCTGGAATATTGCCTCGTAGCTAAATGTCCAGACGTGGTGAACTGCATGCTAGTTCCTAAGCTTCTGCCCTAAAGTGATATATTTCACTTCCATCTACATTTTATTGGCCAAAACACACCCTAAGGCTACTCCAGAGTTCAACAAGGCAAAGATAGGGAATCCTCTAGCAAAGAGGTAAGTTGGAGTATTTGGCCACCTGAAATGCCAACTTAGTTTTACCAAGTATGCTAACTGCCTTAACTACAATGAGTCTAGTCCTCCTGATGTCACTGTATTTTTATATGTTGTCAAAGTAGATACTTAAAAGTGAAAATACATGTCCTCTTCTGAAGGGAGCAGCCTCAGTTTGGCTCCCACCAATAGTTACTATGAGGAAACACTTTTCCAGTACTAATAACTCATAGTTTTAATTTCTAAGAGAAGCCAAGAATCCAGATTTCTTATATGAACTTTCCTCATTTTAAAATGTAATTAAAACAACATAATTTGGATTTAAATCTAGCCCCCTACCTACCATTTTGTGATACTTGAAAATCATATACTGTAGTATCTTAGAAATAGTAATAATTAATTTACTAACTGCTGATATTTATAAACTGACTTTTGCATTAAAAACTTAATCAAGGAGGTAAAAATCAAATCTACCTGAAAATTAAAAAATGTTTAAGATAAAGATAATTTTAATAAATGATATCCAAGTTAGGCTTAGAAATATTTTTTTTAAATATTTATTTTTGAGAGAGAGAGAGAGAGAGAGCGCGAGAGCATGCACAAGCAGGGGAGGGGCAGACAAAGAGAGAGAGACCCAGAATCCAAAGTGAGCTCCAGGCTCTGAGGTGTCAGCCGGATGCCAGTCATGAACTCACAAAGGACAAGATCATGACCTGAGCCACCCAGGCACCCCTCTAAGTTAGGTATAAAGAAAATCTTACTGAAATGTTTTAGGCAGCAGCATCTTTATTAGAAATACACCATTTCTCTAAGTGACTACTTTAAACAGAATATCCTTCAACTGAATATGGAAATTCTGGCATGTTTGTTAGAAGTGCTCTTATTTCATTACATTCATATAGCCATTCCTGAACTGCAAATCTGCTGTTAAATAGTCATCATAATAAGCCACTTTGATTAAAGTACCAGATAGTATGCTAAATTTTAGCTTCATTAGATATGTAACAAGCATGCTGATAACTGGTTAGGATTTTCATCTATAAAGTTATGTGTACATTGTAAAATACCTGGTGATACCTTAGATGTTGTGAAAACATGTTACTCTTCTCCTTTCCCAGTTTTTTCCTTCTTTGTGACTATAACTTACAAATTTCTGTTGAGATCAATAGAGAGTAGTATAATTGTGTTCATAGTTTAGGACTAAAATAAACTAGAGAAAAGATAGGTTTTGAGTAATTTATAGGTGTCATACACTTGAATTGATCAACTACTGCATGCGGCTAGAAAATTAAGTAGCTTCTCTCTGCCTAATTTCTTATAATTATTAGGTAGACAGTTGCCACAGTACAGTGAAGACAAGCTGTTGGGCTTGGTACCGAAACCACACTGAATCAGCTCACACATGATTACTGGGTTTAGTTGCCTCACTGAAGGTATAGTCTATTACCGTGTTTCAACTTCTGATGTGTGCCAGCTTCTTTTTTTTCTTCTTCTTCTTTTTTTTTCTTTTGGTACTTTAGTTTTAATTTTTTTCATTTTTACTAATGTAGTACAGTTTTACCTAATTTACCTCTCTAAATGAAACAGTAAAGATAGCTTGTTTCTCTCATGTTGGAATGTAAAAAGAACTTAGAGAAAAAGGATTGAAGGGATGAATATAGTGAAATAAGCCATCCCATGAACATGTAAAATACATATTTCCCTGAATATTCCTCTGGCTACTCCACCAAAGCTACCCTAGTCAGTGATGACTTTCATAAACAGCGTCATTGACTTATAGGAATCTCAATATAAATGCTGTGCTTGATTTAGTAAGACAGATGTTTGATATTTTCTCATTTTACTCTGTCAGTCCTTATATCAGAAGTTGAACATTTTAAATCCACAAACTCCAATGTATTTTACTTGCCCATGGGAATAGCTGTTACAAAGCAAGAAATAGATAGAGGGAAGAAAAGCTTTGGGGGAGGGATCCTCCCCCAAATGACTAGCTGATTAAGAAACCTCAAATGCTGTGTGTTCCATTAAAAGATCCTATTATAAAGCCACAGTGTTGGATGTATAGGCAAGTATCTGGCTCTATCTCTTTTTTCATCTGACTCTAAATATGTGTGTTTTTATTTGGAAAAATCCCCCATTCTTACTGTACAGGTTCCTTCAGTACCCATGCTGTGTCATCCAGGAATAAAACAAAATTACTCAGATTGTTTTTGTTAAATAGGCATTTGAAGTAAAGCAAGCCAAACATTTCTGATAGTTATTGCTCGTAATCTGCCAGTGTCCTTTTGGAAGCAACCTTAGTCTCCACCTATTGTTATTACCAAAGAAGGATTAGGTGTTCATTTCATCTTTTGACTCTGCTTGCCTCCTTGCCTGAAGAAAGTTCTTGACATAGAGTGCAGCCTGTGTTTTGTAATGTTTTGTTTTTAAATCTTTTATCTTCAAATCAGGAAGGGTAGAAGTCTTTAAGCTTTAGACTTTAGCTCTTATCCCCTTGTTTTATGTTTTTTCCAACTCAGTCTATTGCTAGTCTTCATCTCTTTAGGGTCTAATCTCCTAAAATTCCAAGTGCCTTTTACTCAACAAGCTTTTTATGAGTTTCTCATGGGCTAATTAGCTAAATTTAAAATAGACTAGTACCAGTGTGGTCAGGGACATCCAGGAAGCCTGTAGATTAACTTGTTTCCAAGCAACAGGCATGCGACCTTTGGTTGTATCCATTTGTCAGATTTGCACTATACCATACCCAGCACTGTGGGTTTAGGAAATCCTAAAATCTAAGGTAAAATCAATAGGTGCAAGTCTTTCACAAAAGATAAATTCTGCGTTTTTTTTTCTTGAAATATGGCAAGGTAGGCTCCAAAAGTAACCATCCCAATTCGTTGGCTTAATCTTTTAATAGATTTCAGTATTTTGTTTTTAAGATATGAATAAGTGAGGGGCGGCCTGGGTGGCTCAGTTGGTTAAGCGTCTGACTTTGGTTCAGGTCATGATCTCACGGTTTGTGGGTTCGAGCCCCGCATCAGGCTCTGTGCTAACAGCTAGGTTAGAGCCTGGAGCCTGTTTCAGATTCTGTATCTCCCTCTCTTTGTGACCCTTCCCTGCTCATGCTGTCTCTCTCTCTCTCTCTCTCTCTCTCTAAAATAAATAAAACATTAACAAGAAAATTTTTATAAAATAAGAAAGATATAGATAAGTGAATTTTATTTCACAATATTCCATATTTTTTTCTGACTCTGGTAAAGTAGACTTTGACAGATAGGGGCAGATTAATCAAGCTTATTTCTGGCATCCATAGGAATCAGTCACTTATTGCTCCTGAATTAGTTTGCTGTTGGGGTACTGAGCGTGATTCCCAGCCAAAGCACCTACTCTGGGTATCTGCTCACAATTTGTTTACTTTTAACTCGTTTATGATGTACATGGTTCAAAAAACAATTGTATCTCGGGATCTGAAGAGTTTCTTCATAGAAGTTTAAAGAACAAGAAGATTTTTTTTCTGCAGGAAGTGTGATAGTTCCTAGCCTATGGAAAAAAAAAAAATTAAGTATACATGTGCTGGTTCCACACTCAAGAATTCATGTTATATTGGCACTGGGAGTGGCTTAAACATCTGCACAGTTAGAAAGCTAAAGGGGCACCTGGGTGGCTCAGTCAGTTAAGCGGCTGACTAGGGCTCAGCTCAGGTCAATCTCATGGGCTTTGCCTTGACAGCTCAGAGCTTAGAGCTTGCTTCAGATTCTGTGTCTCCCACTCTCTTTGCCCCTCCCCTGAT